TTGAGACTATGTTTGACTTTGTTGCCTTATTTGGTGAGCATGGGGATTGTCCATGCCACATTGATTGACTATCTTTTAGTTTAGATCTGAGATGTAATACTGTATCAGGATTATGTCCGGGCTACGTCTTGTAGTTCCGTGATTTTAGAGACTCACAGTTAATTATATATTGAGGTATTTCTTTTAGCTGTCTACTTTGCAATTTACATACAGGCAATGTTTTGGAAATGAAATAAGTAATTCAACTTGGTAATGATAATGACGTCATAATTGAAAAGAAAACGAATATTCCACATTTTTATTTAAGCGTGGCGTAATACGAAGACATGTTAACAAATCGGGCAAGCACGGGGCGTTACATTTATCTCACCCCACATTTTGGGAACCCCTTTTCAGGTACAAATGAATTTGAAGCATCTATTGGTAGGAGGCCACAGTAGATAACATGATGATGCCATGTTTTGATATATTTTGGGAGCATCTTATGTATATGTTAGATGAACATGTATAGGATTTACGTTTTGTAGCTCATTTGATATATCGTGATTTGCTTTGGTGGATTTAGCCTATGATCAATATCCTTTGGTATCCTCATGTTGTTGGATAGAGCCAAGGACCTTGATCATAGTTTTTTTGTGTAGCTAAGTTTCAATATGTGTAATTAAGCCATTTAATGTAATTGAACATTGTGTAATTATGGATTATATACATGTATGATGGAAGGGCATGGATGCCTATTTTGCATGTTTTGAGGTTTATTATCTGTGTGCCTTATTGATAATGTATAAGAAATATGCATGAATGACATAGAGTAAAAAATGCTAAGTTTAGGACACATAACTTATAAACCAAGAAAGGATAAGAAAGTGTTCTGAATTAATGAGAATTGATGTGGAAGTAACAGCGCCCTAATTTGTGGGCCTATGGGTTGCCCTTCCATGTCTATTAGGTATCCAAGAGGATTGCCAACCATATGTGGTTTGAGCCAAGCAACAAATAGGACATGCTCAATTCCTGGCTCTATTTGCTGGAACGCTCGCTTCAGCGAGCAGGGCCAGCGAGCTAAATGAATTGGAGACAGAAGCTAACTCAAAGCAAGGGGACTCCTCGCTCATGTGCTCGCTTCAGCGAGGAAAAGAGCACCTGAGCAATAGCTACTGCATGGGGATTTAATTTACTTGTTGTAGTGCTCGCTTCAGCGAGCAGAACAACGAGCTGAGGAAAATGCTCACAGAGGAGCTCGCTTCAGCGAGGAGCTCGGTGAGCTACCTAGTTTGCTGAAAAATAAAAAGATTATTGTGGGGTGTATGTGAACCCCACATTCATGTTTAACAAGATTAGCTAGAATTAATTATTCTGCAATGTCACTGAGTTACAATTACTATTTCGGTTTATTTTAAATGCGATAATTATTGTTAATGGAATGTAGGATGTTTAAAAAGAAAAAGTTTAGCCGTATTTTAATTGAACTATTGTGATTGTAACTGCGCTTGATATCATACGTAACGATAACAAATCGGAGTACTACGAGGTGTTACATGCTCTTTATGTGAGGTATTTCCGCTCCTATTAACGCGCTAGAGGGTTGCTTACGATCTTGAATTCTCAAAGCACATTTTAGCACGCTCCACCCGAAGGAAAATCCCCTTAGCGCGTTTTAGCGTGCTTCCCAAGGAATTTTAAGGTTCATAGGAGGCATTGGACTTCCATTTTTAAGAAATAACAAGTCTCCAAGGTACCTAATAACTATCTCGACAGCCTCTCATGGCAAATTAGGCATCAATGCATACATTCAATCAAAGGATATCCAATTTTGACATCAATCATTAACTCATTACTTTGCTCTTCAAATAATTACCATTTAAGGCTATTTACATCAAAATGCATCCTCTCAAAGTAATACTTCAAGTTCACAAAATAAGGCTTATGAGCCCTTCAATTCCTTCACATGTATGCCTTTCAAATGAGGCATCAATACATACAATTTAAACACATGTAGCTGAAATATAGTCCTAGCATGCTCCTATGTTAAAAAGGGTCAAAATCACAATATGATGCCATCAATCCCTAAGATGGCTTCTTGCCACGAGAGTTTTTATCTGCACCACTCAATATACCTGAAATATAGTTCCTCGCACGGGGTGAGATACAATCTCAGTAAACTAAGTATCCTTGGAGATTCCTCCACCCTTATGTTTACTTTCATGATATACAGACATTAATCAAGCAAGGCATATTTCATATACACTGTCATATACATACACATAGCACAAGAACCATTCCATTGGCTAACTTGTCAAACACAGGAATACTCATATGGCACTTCCAAGAGAAGTCCCTTCAGGCTTTTTCTCTCAGGCATCAACCATACAAAATTTTCTCCACATAACTCTAGTTTCATGGAAAGTCCATATTTCATATTCTCCTGGCCAGGGAACCTCCTCAATCATATAATCATATAATAGTATATTTCTCATAAGAAGCAATATTACTCATTTCAATGTACAATGCATATCAATCCATGAAACCATTACTCCTCATGAAGTATGATGGAACAACAAAGGGGATTAACCTCAAGATCCAAGAGTTTACCTTTCTAAGCTTTAACCTTTTACTTCCTTTTGACCCAAGCAATCCACTATCACCAAGATCACCCACAATATGTATTCAAAGGGTGTGGTTCCAATTAATACATATGTATATACATTAAAATCAACTTATATCCTTTAATATCATCAAAGTCACAAATTTAGAGACTTACCACAATTCTTGAAGTTCTAAGAACAGTAACTTTTAGAACAATGGTGGTTCCACTTCAATATTACCACCACCATCAATACTCCCACACAAGTATTAACTTCCATATTTATGTAATAACCTAAATCCCCAAATCTTGATGAACACTAAAAACCCTTATTCAAGAAATCAACCAAACCCTAAGATCAAACCATGGAAACTCAAGAACTATAAAAGGAAAATCATATTTCTTTTCTCAAATGCTCTACCACAAGCAAGAGGTGTGATTTCTAAGTTCCAAAGACAAGAAATTCACCTCTAAGCCCCATCCCTATGTGGTGTACGAAAATGGGTTTTTGAGGAGGGAAAAAAAGTTAGGCTCTTTCTTGGTTTTCTTGGTGAGGAGATCATGATAGGGCAAAGAAGTAGTAGTCATAAGAAGGTTAAGCTCTTCCACGTCTTCAATGGAGGGAAACTGGTTGAAGAAAATAAAATAGAGAAATGGGGGGAGGGGGGAGACTGTAAGGGAGAGAGGGAAAACTAAGATGGAGGAGAGAGGGAATATTATTTAGATATTTTGTAATATCTAATCCATATAATTACCAAAATTCCCCTGGCCTCATCTCTTTTTTTATTACACACCCATAGGTTTAATCTTAATGGGATGGATTTTATGGAGTGTGTCACACACTTAATTTATTTTGGGTTTTACTTGCTTGCATAATTTGCACTTTAACCCAACACTTTTATTATTTACATTTTTACCCCAAAAAGTGATTTAATTCTAATTTAGGCTCTTCATATGTTTAGTAGTATAATTATACATTAATCTCTAATTGGTGTAATTCAATCGTTGGAGTTATTATAAATACTCATGTAACTTTATGTTCATTTCCTTCGAAACCAACTAGGGTTGAAATTTGGTTTCTTAGGCCATGTCTATGTGGCCTTCAAAAGCATAAACATGTTGAAAGTGACTCTTCCATGATTCTCGTGACCTCTTTCCTACCCTATACCCACTTAACACTAACATTCTCTTCATTTCAATCATTTGAGTATGAATTAGTGACCCTACTCCTCATGACCTCTTCCATAAACTCTACCCTCTTAGCACTAGCATTCTCCCCATTTCAACCAATTGAATCTGAATTACTGACCCTAGAACTTTTCTTCTTGCCTCCACACAAGTCATCAAGTTCCTTTTTTGGTAGGGGCAACTTTTCAATATTTAGATCAGAGCCTTTTGATCCATTGAAGGTGAAAAATGAAACTTTTTAATACATTGATTCAAAATCTAAATATTTTTTCAAAATAATATTAGGATATACACATGGCAAAAAAAATGTTCATTTGTTATGTTACTATGGCAAAAAAAAAAAAAAAAAAAAAGCCTTAAATCATAGCTTTATCAGTGAGCTCTCTTGAATGTGGCTTTGTCCCATGCTTCAAGTTTATGTTTGTATTCGGAGTTTTAAGAACAACATTCCGACCCCTCTTTCTCCTCAGCCTCCTCCTTCCAACGAGAATGGTAGCATTGCATTCATCATGATCTACCCAAAATGATCAAATTAAAACTCGTAGAACCAAAGGACAGAGACCAGAAGACATGGCTGGAAGGGTTATATTATCAGAACCAAGTATACCAACACCCTCCAACCTCCACATTCATCAAAGCAAGCGCATCAAGAAAATTCCTGAAAATTTCAATCCCCTAGTAGAGTTCTGAGGTCCCAATCATTGCTTCTGATGCTGAAAAAGGAGCTCACTAAAGCCTCCTATACAGCATGATCCGCAATCTATCATTGATTCGTAAGCTGGCCAGGAGAATCCCACAGAAAGCGTCTATTCTAGAACTTGAGAGACAAACGAAAAGTTCCAAACCAAAATCTCATCCTTATCCGAACAGTAGTGGCATGAATAAAAAATAAAGACAATAATAAACTACGACATCAACATCCAATCCCTTTTCCCCAAAAAGAAAAAGCAACCACATAGACCTACAAGTTCAACCCAAAACATACCATCAAATATTTTTTTTATTCGCGGGCGGTGAATTACCAACAAACTGACGAATATAGAAGAGAAAGTCACAGTAGCAGTCCACTCGGTAGTAGCTTTCTTTTCCTATTTTGAAATAGCTAAAGGCCCCACCAATCCCATACCAAAGAGCCATATTTCGTCGCCACTCGCCAGCACACACCCTCTCTCTTTCTCCTCTTCCTTCATCTCTTGAAAGGGCGCGATTTGCCTTTGCCTCCTCTTCTCTATCATTTTTAAAAAACTTATCATTCACACCACCAACATTCAAAAACCTCATTCTCTTTCTCATTCTTCTCAAAACAAAAACCCTAAAAAACTCACACGCGCTCGCGCACGATGCTCCCTCACTCTTACACCTTCGACTCTGTTTCCAAATCCCAGGAACTATTATCAACCATCCTAGCTGCTAACACACCTTCCCAAATAAGTTCCGTCTGCGCCTCCATCGAGACCTTCCTGCACTCTCACTCACCCGATCAATCCCGCCACTTCTTCTCCCTCGCCTTCCCAACCCTAATCTCGAAGCTCTTCGGCTTCGACGACCCTCGCACCCTTAACCAAAACTCCAATTCATGGATCGACACACCCCATCTCGCCAAAACCCTCTTCTCACTCCTCTCCCCAAACGGCACCCTCGCCGCCGCTATCTCCGCCGTCGACCGCCTCTCACTCGTTAAATACGTCTTCCCCGCCGAACGCCTCCCCGACTGGGCTCGCTCGCTCCTCCTCTCCGATAGCCTCTCCGGCGCACTCTCCGATCTCTGCCCTTCCTTATTCAAAACCTCGCCTTCCACTTCCCAAATCCAACTCAACGTCTTCCAGTACTTCTTCTTTTGGTTCGCTTACTACCCCGTTTGCAGAGGCAAAAACGACAGCTCCGATTGCGTTTCCGTCAAAAGAGCCAAAAAATTTAGGTTAGAGGATTGGTCATCCGGTTTTTCCATTCCCGGTTTTTCCACCTCCAAGCGAACCGGGGTCGACCGAAAAACCACCGAGTGTAACCTCTACACGCGCCTCCTCTACGCTTATCTTCGCGCGTTTGTCCCCGTCGACGATCTGAAAAAACACCAACCCTACCGCAGCTCGATCCTTCACCACGGTTCGGGTTACGACGCTACCGTTGCGGTTCGGGCTGATTTTGTGGTCAACACTCTGATTCATTTCTGGCTCGTTGATAACGATTTCTCGCCGTTGCCGGTGAACTTGTGCAGGTCGTTCGGCGTTTCGTTTCCGTTGGGGGAGACGCCTCCGACGCCGGGTTTGGGTGAGGTGGTTAAGCTTTTTGTGAGGTACTTGAATTTGAGCACTGTCACTGCGTTCCATGAGAATAATGGTGGTAGTGGTGATAACTATAGTGGTTGCGTGAGTCCTAGGTGGAGGTCTGTGGAGGCTGCGGGAGCATTGCCACTGACACATTCTGTGCGTTCGCAAGGGTGTTGGAACCTTTGTGTGCAGAGGCCTCTCTATAGGTTCCTTTTGAGGACGTTCTTGTTTTGCCCTGTTGCTGCTTCGGTTAAGAATATGTCGCAGGTGTTTTCTGTTTGGGTTAGTTACATGGAGCCTTGGGCTATAAAAGGGGATGAGTTTTCTGATCTGGATGCAATGAACGATGATAAAAGGGAAAATCTTGTGTCTGCTGCTGGAAGTGGTGGATTTGCGCCACGTTGGCAGGATTATGTTCTCTCTAATTACCTCTACTACAGTTCCTTGGTTATGCATTTTATTGGGTTTGCTCACAGGTTTCTTCACAGTGATGTTGAAATTATAGTCCACATGGTGCTCCAGGTGCGTTTCTTAATTATCCATGTTCCTTCTTTTTCTTTTGCATTCACAGAATTTTTAATTTTAAATAATTTAAGCTTTGCTTGGTGAATTTTATGTTGGGGAAGGGACATTATATTTTACTGGCTTACTGCTTTATGGTGGGTATTTGCCTGTGACTTCAAGTTTCTGCTTAGGACATGTGGTGGAAACTGAGACTGGAAGTGAAACTGTACATCAATCGTTTTCTTCTCTCGAGTTTGTGTACATGAAGATTGTGAAAAACATAGGAATGACACAAGAATTAAAATGTGGCTATTGAATAATATGACCCGGGAATTCATTCTTGAGAGATAAGGAGAATAATTGTATAGATGCCTTCCTGTAATTTTAGTTTCCAGAGTATCACTTGTCTTTCAGTCAATCTTTGATCTATTCATATTTGTATCCATGGAAATTGTACTTAATCATCATTTGATCATCTGACTTTGATGCACTCACATGTACACCTCAAACCACATTCACATGTATACACTGTAAGACACCAAGCTTTCTAGTCTGTAATCCGAACATCTGAAGCAAGTGATGAACTCGATTATCAGCTAGGAAGCATGGACACTCTAAAAAACTGGAAGTGTCGTGTCTGACACGCCGACACGGTGTCTGACACGCGGTTAACATTCCTGACACGTTGACCATTTCGATAGGCGAATTTGACGGTGTCCGACACGGTCAAATGACATTTTTTAAAAAATATTATATTTAAAAAAAAAATTATTTTTTTAAAATTTAAAATATATTAATAAAGTTTCCACCTGATCATATCAATTTTTCCCCTTTTTTTCCCTTTAAGTAGATAATAGATCATCGCAGCACCATCATTGTCATTCCTGTTACGCTCTTGCTGTATCTCCTTCTCTCTGGTCTCTCTAATTTGATCTTATCTCTCTCTCTCTCTGATATGATCTCTCTCTTTCATCCCAGTTTCTATTTTTTTATTAAAGCTTCCACCTTTATAACGTTTGATTGTGTTCTTGATGTTCTTTTATTTTACATTGTATTCAGTAAATAATTTTAGTTAGTTCCTTTTTTTTAGTTTATGTTTTTGCCTTTTGTGAAGAACGTTGCTACGATTCTTGGTATTGGGTGTCGATGAATTTTTTGTTGTTGTTGCCATTGGTTATATCAGATTTTTGTTTTTTTCCCCTTTTTGTTCTCCCTTTATGTAACACTTGGATTCCGACTTTGAACCAATTTTTCTTATGTGGTTTTGGTTTGGAAAGGGAAGTTGAAAGATAATATGTTGATGGATATTATTAATTTAGTTTCATTTTTCTGTTAAATTATTGAATATTAAATGAAATATACACTATATAAATTAAAAATATTATTTAATATTAAAACGTGTCCCAACGTGTCGAAATCCATATTTTTTTAGGATTGATATGTCGGAGTGTTGTGTCGTGTCGTGTCGTGTCACATATCGGATGACGGATATCGTGTCGGTGCTACATAGATTATCGGTTGACTGAGCATTTTGGTTTTAGATATAGAATATTATTGACTTATCCTTGAACTTGATGTGTAATTAGTAATTACTACTTTCTTTAGTTTGCTAAATTTTCTTAGAGGAAAATGAACAATTTTAGTTAGTTGTCATATCCATTAATTGCTTGATTGTTGAACAGGACACTTAACAGTCCCATTGTGTTCCTACACTGAATTGGCAAAAAAGATATGTCTATAGAGTATGATGGACTTATCAATCTTATCTTTGTAGAACTGTTTCTCATTTTTTTTTTTAAATTGTGTTTTTAATTTTTATTTTTCTGTTTTTTAGGTTTTATAGTCATTGAAACCTCATGTTAGACAGTACATTCAAATAGGGCACATTATTTGCCTTCTTGCCAGGAGAAAGTTTGCATTTCTGTTCGTGTTAGACCTGTCTGTATACTTCTTTGGTTAAAAAATTCAATAAAGTCATTATTCAATAAACTCTTTGTAATGACTCATCTAGTTATTCCTATCACGTATATACAATGTTCCTGTGATTGTAAATTTCTGAGGCAGCATAACAGCCTTTTGAGGTTTAGCTGAATGAAATTTTAAATTCTTAACCTGTTTTTACAGGTTTTAGACACCTTGACATCATCAAAAGAGCTCATTGACCTTTTGAAGAATGTGGATACCCTTTTCCATTCCAGACAGGTTGGAACAGGCAAATCAATGTTGAATAACTTGTACAGATATGTTCCTATTATCCGGGAACAGTTGCAGGTGGTTTGATATTTCTCTTCTGCTTTTACTGTTTTCCCAATTCCATTCTTTGAATTTAGTGGTTGTTTTTTGCACTTTAGTATAACTTGCACCTAAAAGTTCATTCCATACCTACTATTAGTTACCCACTTTTTTTGTGTTGGTTGTATAATTTGATGTCTCGCGTCTAGGATATTTGCACTTGTTGAGTAATTTTGGTTCATAGCTGGTCTAGGACTCTAGGCACAGTATTAAATGCATCTATGAGTAGCAAGTACTCAGCATGATCTACTATCTATATATTTATTAACAATACTGGCTGTTTCAGGACTGGGAGGATGGTCTATGTGAGACTGATGCTGATGGCTCATTCTTGCATGAGAATTGGAACAAAGATTTGCGATTGTTTGCTGATGGGGAGGATGGCGGACAACAGCTCCTTCAGGTCTTATACTCTTATATTTTATGTTATTATCATCATGAATGTGTTTCTGACTATAGCATAACAACACAATCAATCATTTGTCCATATAATGACAAAGTTTTAACTCTCCTCTTTTATTTGGGCTTGGGACCAACTATGTAAAGATTGGTCAGAGAGCACAAATAGGCAGATGTTTCTAACTATAGTAATCATTATAGATGTGGTATAGGTTATTATCTTCTCATACTATCTTTTGTCACTGCAGTTGTTTATATTGCGTGCAGAAGCTGAGTTGCAATCCATATGTGGTGATAATCTTACACCCGGCCTTCAATGCATAGATTCATTGAAGGCGAGATTGGGGTGCTTATTTGATGGACACACTGTAAAGTCATCTTCAACCTGTCCGGAACCAATGCAACATCAACATTCCCGAGATGAGATATTCAAGCCTAGAAGAGCTGGCAACCATGCATTTGCAGATGTTAAATACAAAGGTGACTGGATGAGACGTCCCATATCCAATGATGAGATTGCATGTCTTGCAAAAGTGCTCATTAGGTTATCTGATTGGTTGAATGAGAGTCTTGGACTAAATCAAGCAGAGAGCAGTCAAGTAAGCCCAACATGTTCCTATGTTGAGGTATCGACTGATGTTGCCCATATATGTGGACCTTCAGAGACCCTGAAGGTTTTTTTCTATACCATTGGTTCTTGGTTTCTCTTTCTGGGTGCTGCTTCTCTGGGTTTAATGCGAAAATGCGGTCTGAGGGTGAACCTAAGGATATTGGCCTCCAAGAAGGTTGTTATGGTTTTTGTTTTCTATGCTGTTTTTAGCATATTGAAGAAACTCATTCGAGCATTCCTTAGCTTGTAGGGAAGAAAATAAATCGAACATACAAAATATATAGAGAAATGTGAAAAAGTACGGAGAGAATTTTGTTCCTTGCAAGTTATTGTGCGTAAGGTGTTTCTGCCTGTGTAAATTTTAGTGTAGTAGTAGCCAAAATATGTCTGTCCGGCATTCTGTTTGTTCGGAGTACAGTAATTATAATAGCTTACCGCATGCGATCTCGTCCAACAGGATATAAATGCAGCTCGGTTAATGTAAGTAATTTTTTTTATCTTTTTTCATATGAAAGCTGCAATGAATGAAATTAAGGATGAAAATAATGGAGTTCTACCTCATTTTTATTTAGAATTTGACAAATAAAGTTTTAGTGAGGATCCACCATTTCGTTGAATTGAAACAATGTTTTGTTGTAGGATATGACACTAAGTTTGAGCAATCCATTAACTTTTAGCGTCATTTTTTTTTTATTATGGTTGCAATAATATTGGGTTAGTTTAGTTATCCTGACTCTGAACATTTGTTAGACATGTATGATATTTCTTGTTTAAGAAATTACATTCTGCCTCGAGACCCTTTATTTATGAAGTTATACGCATGTCGCGTACTTTCTAATCGAATTTTACGCAAAGTTCTTGTAAAAATAATGGTTTACCCATAAGAGTTTTCATTTTTATTATATTAAAAATATAATCTTAAATCAGTTATATTATCTAATATTATTATTAATCTATAAAGAATAATAAAATTAATATTAAATATTTTTTAACGCATTTACTAAGGTGGTGATGTAAAATATTTCTTTGATTATTACATCAATTTTAATATACTGTATCATTGTTGCTCTTTGTTTTGAATTAATATTTTTAATTGACGTTGAGTACTTATTTTAAAAATAAAAATACAAAGTTCAACCTAATTATAATTTTGAAGTAAGTGCTATAATATAATTCAAGGTGTGAAATACATTATTTTTAATTCATGTTAATTGATATAGCAAAAAAGACATGATTAATGGTTAAGAAAGAGATTGTCTAGATATTATTATTCCTCTCTTGAGTTTAAAGTTTTACAAAATTAAAGCAAGCGCTGAATTTACAAAAAAAGAAAAGAAAAGCAAGCGCTCTCTCTCTCTCTCTTAGATCCGCTTTACATATAGCAATGATAGGTGTATGATTATGATTTTTCACATTTAATATTTTTATCTTTTGTATGGTTATGATTTTTCACCTTTAATGCTTTCACATATATATATGGCAAGTATTTGACTGTTGCGTTTATAGCAGTTGCAGAAATATAAATCCTTATATATATATATATATATATATATATATATATATAGAGAGAGAGAGAGAGAGAGGAAATTTATACTTACAACTTTTTTTTACAACTTCTTATAACCATATCTTAACACCGTTGATTTCCGTCAATCAACGGTTATCATTTATTGTGAATCAATAATTAATTAATGAGTTTAATTTTCGAAAATAATAACCGTTGATTGACGGAAATCACCGGTGTTAATATATGGTTATAAGATGTTATAAAAAAAAGGTTGTAAGTATAACATTTTTCGTTTATATATGTGGGGCAAAATCTTTTGACTCCGGTGTAAGGCTTAGAAGTCTTACTCCTTCCCATCTCAACCATTGATTTTCGTTCATCTAATGTTATTATTTATTTGAAAATAATAGTTAATTAATTGATGTAACTCAATGAACTATAACATATCAAATGGATGGAAATTAACAATTAAGATGAGAAGTTCCCTTCCCAATATAAATATATATATATATATATATATATATTATAGATTCAATTAAATTCTAGTAATCGAACAATACTATTATTATTTTATTTTATTTTGGCTACATAACTATACTATTATTTTAGTTGTCTCAGATAAGTTATTACTACATCGAATAAAATAATTCGATATTAATTAAAATTGTTTTCTATATACAAGACTTTAAACTGGTTCATGTAACCAAAATAAAAATTGATTTTTAAAATTTTTAATAAATTAACAAATTTTATTTGTTCTTCTAAAAAAATTTAAAAATATGTCTACATAATAAAATAGGTCTAGTTATATGAATCAGACTTGATTTTTTTATAGTTAACTCAAAAAAAATGGTCCTATCTTGAGTTTTTATTCATAAAGATTGTTTACATCATTAAATTTTTAAATTAATTTTAAAATAAAAAAAAAGGATTGGGAAAATGGTAAGTTTGAAAAGATAAAAAATAATAATAAAAAAGAATCGAGACTCAAATAAATGAATAAATAAATAAGTTATTAATATAACAATTGAAGTGAAAAAAAGGTAATATTTAAAGATGACATGTGATTATGGAAATGAAATATGATATGTAGCCATAATGTGGGATGAAGCCTATGATAGAATCAATTTGCTGTCACATGAAATGGGCTGCTAACATAGGGCGGCGGCTAACATGAACAAAACAATTATGTTTCCGCTTGACGAAGGCACTGAATTTTATTTTATTTTTTAGTAAATACCCCTTTTGGATTTTCAACACAAAAATAGGAAACCTATTTTAATTATTTAGAAAAAAAAATTGACTTGTGGTTCATCTGAAATTTCAGTTCTTTAAAATTGTGGTCTCTCAGAAATTCAAAGAAGATCCATATTAATCCCTTAAAAAGTACTAATATAGATAAAAAAAAATTCTAAAGGTATTAAAACAAGTTTCGTGTTTTTTTGTTGAGGATCAAAAATGTATATACTCATTTTTTATATATATATATAGAACATAGATAATAAAACAAGGGGATACGTTAATTTTTCAAACTAATTATCATTATACTATGCATTAAATCTATCTTTAGGAAGGCTATTGTAATTTTTCAAACTAATTTTACAATCATTAAATTGAAAGAAATCAACGGCCGAGATGAGGAGTAAGATTTCTAAGTCTTACACTAAAGTCAAAAGATTCCTTCCCTATTTTTTTATTTTAAAATATTAAACATGAAGCAGTTTTATATTTTTTACTTATTTTTAAAAAAAAATTGAAAAGATATTAATTATTTAATATTTTATTTTTATATTTGGCATTTTTATTAAGTGAGATGAAAAAATTAGTACTAATGGAAAATGACAATTTCGTTAAACTTAGTTTTTTATAAATTAAAGATATTTAATAAATTTTTTAATATTTGGATAAAAAATTTGAATAATTAATATTTTGGAATGAAGGAAGCTTGATTAAAATGATAATATAGTCATGGTCAAATTTTTTAATTCAAAATTTCATTGATCATTTTTATAATTTTTCATTAATTTGAACCTAAATTTATAATGTAGATAGGGGTCCCCTATTCCTGCCACGACAATAATTTTTACTTAACCCATTGTACGCGTGATTGAGGGGCCCAAAGTAATTGAGGGCAAGCAAGACTGCAAATGTCATTGGGCTACGCCCTATACCAACAATTGAAAATTGAAAACCATATGAAATTGTTACCGAATTTACTAAAGATGAAAACACAAATATGTGGAAGCAAATCATTTGGTCGGTGAAAAAGAATGTTATTTGTATTATTATTTATTTATTTTCAAAAAAACTCATTTTTTTTTAAATATACTTATTAGCAAATTCACAGTTTTGGTGAGTGATTTTTTTTTTTAAGTCAGTTACTTTAGACGAGTGAACTTGTTAATATTTCATAGATTAATTTGTATAGACAAAAATTTTAAAAACTAAAATAACACTAGTAATATTTTTAAATAATGAAATTATATATTACCTGTATTCATGTTATTGCATATTGTTATAAAAATTCTCAAATAATTTTTTTAACAAGGTCACAAAGATACTTAAATAATATTCATAACAACACATGGAAATATATATTTTTATGAGCTTTTTCTTTGATTTTGACAGTCTTCATAATTATTTATTTTATTAAAAGGATTAAAATGTCAGCATGCAGACTTTAAAATCAGGTATTTTTAGAATGGACCTATAACCTAACGGTCAAATTAAGACTTTGCTACGCACAGTTTTAAAGGCAAATTGTGTCCTGGTTTGCCAAGCAAACAATGGTAGAGAAAATATTTTATATAAAAAAGCAAAATTATAAGTGTATTTTTCTTTATAAATTATAAAAATGTATATGAAAAAAAAAATATTCACAACTAAGACATAAGCATTGAATAAGCAGTCTCATCTCAAATTCTTTTGAACTAAGAATGCTCGGAAAAAAATTAAAATAATATTTTTTAATTAAATAATTATGTATTTATTATAATTTTAGAAATAAATACATATTTATTTCACAATGTGACGCTCCTTTTGGGCACCACATGTGACGCCCCATTGAGGCGTCTCACCCTAAGGGAAAACGCCCCAATGGGGCGTCACATGTGACGCCCAAAAGGGGCGTCTCATGTGTGCCCTATATATACCCCCTTTTTTACCATTTCATTTCTCACTATTTCACCTCTCTCTAACCACGGTTTGTGCTCCCGACCGAACACGAAAATTTTCGTAGCGAAGCTTTGCCAACTTAGGTAAGTTCGTAATACCTGCTATGTATACGTTTAAATTACAGTGCTACCTTGTGAACATGTTAGGATTTATCGTATACTAGAGACTTAGAACATTAGGATAGTCACTTAGAAATTTTGTACTATGCTATGAATGTTGTAATGATATAGTAATTTTTTTGTTAGGTAGTTATGATTATTAATACATATTTATGATGTTATTTTGTGATAGTGATTTAGAAAATAGTGATAATGACTTCGTAAATTTTGTATGATGTTATTAATGCGGGAATGTATTGATAATTTTGTAGTCAGTTAGGTGTGATGATTAGTACATATTTATGAAGTTATTAGTGACTTAGGGTTAAGTATTATGTCAGTATGATTTAATTTGTGTCCGATATTTTATTATTATTTAATTACAAATAAATGACTGTACTACGTATTAATAATATTTCATTAATTTCGATTCTAGTAAAAACGTAGGGTTTATGCTTAATTTATTTGATAATAAATTAGGGCATTGCTTAATTAATTTGTATATAAAATGTGTTGTTACATGTGATTAATTTCATTGTTGTTTATATATTATATAGTTTAGGGTCATGGCTGATTCATCATCATCTTCGGG